TTCATATAGTAATTGTCTTTTCATAGTTGAAATTATGAGTTAATTGAAGCTAGACCACCAAGGAAAACTTGGAAGCACTGCTTGACGGCCTTTTCGTCTTATTATGGGACTCCTCAGCAATACGCATCCACGACCTCGCCTCACGAGATTCCAACCCAGGACTTATCAGTCTCGCGTCAGAGCACTTAACAGATAGACAATGGAGCCTGCATCCAACAATGTCAATGTCTAACTTCAACCGATCCACGAAGTTGATTAACCATTCACCAATTGTCTTCAGTAAGTTGATATCTCACAACAAACGTGGTTTGAACTCCACTGGTCACTGCTTCTCACTAGAACTTCTGGATTTACCTATCGAAGTCAGTCACTAGTGAGCATATGATTATTATCAGAAGGGGTTTTTGTGAAAATTAACACCGTCGGATGCCAGCCGGCTAAGTGGTCTAGAGGTTAAGCGCTCGCACACAAGGCCGATAGGTCCTGGATTCAAATCTCGCTAGGTGAGATCGTGGATGCGCACTACTGGAGAGTCCCAAAACAGGACGAGATGGCCGTCCAGTGCTTCCAGGTTTCCCATGGTGGTCTAGCTTCAATTGACTCATGATTTCAACTATGAAAATGTGTGTATGGTCAACAGCTTCACATCGTAAAAATGAACCTAGCTACCGAATTCCTAACCAGAATTGACGACAGACATATAAACCACTGAACGGTGGCTTCGTTTTGTAAAGATCAAACTCACACTGAGCGACCTGAAGGTTCTGGGTTCGATTCTCTGTTGGGACACTGGCATGCCCAAACTGACTTTTCTAATCTTATATTTTCCTTAGAGGAAATTAATCTGAACTTGATTCTAACATAAACTTTATTTCAGAGTTCTTAACTTCCTATTTTTTTAATGCAAATTACACTGATATCAGTTATCTTAGCCTATAACACGATCAACACCAGTCATAAACTCTCGTGTGTTTGGATTGATCAAGAAACCATATTGAAAATAATCGAAAAAGATCTTCTATCAATGTTTCCAAGTATCTAGTTGAAACTCAATCATTAATATGGGATAGTTGACATGATATATCATATGGAAATCTGGCAAACATTGCAGATTCTTAATACGGAACGAGGACTGTCACAGCCGGATTCATAGAACATTTGAAAATTTTAGATAATGATTTGTTTATTCAATAACCAGTGATTTATAAACTATTTCGAAAATTCAGTGTTATATATAATTTAAATAACTGGTCAGTAGTCAATCTATAATACACTGAACAGGTAGTATTTCACGTAAACTGATCAGTAATTTAATGCATGTATAAAATTGGCAGACCTAATAGATTAACTGCTTTAACGAGCAGGTATGATTAAACTACCGAATTATTTTTTTTCTATTTTTTGACACTTCTCATCCAGCTGACGAGTCCCAAATAGGACGAAACGCGAGCCAAACTGGATTCGACTGTTAGTCACTATCCATCTTTGCTTAACATACTTGTGAATTTAGGCTATATCGAGGCAACACGCACAGTATGCACATATGTCAATTAGAGACTGACCAGTTGCAATCCTAAAAACATCAATAGGAAGATCCAACTAAACAATACTTAGTAAATTTTAACTTGCTTTGGGTGTAACTGAATAGAGTATGTTGTAGGGGGGTGAAGCCAACATATGATTTAGTTATCTTTATTAATCACTTCCTCTTTGTAAAGAAAAAAATAGTCCTGGACTATGTTCCCTTGAGTCTTTAATATTTTTTTAAAATTTCGGGTTAAAGAAATGAGGAAACTACCAGGAGGCTGATTTGAGTCATCTAATTATTCGGCAAAACGTATCAATCTTCTTGGCAAACTGACTTTCGTATCTTTACTTATGATACTTTAATTAGTTATGTTTCCTATATGAAAAGTGATTTCTGTGCTGACAGGAACCATCAATATACCGTAAATATAATCAACTAAATTACTGAGCTATAGCTTTTTCTTCTTCCTGTCAATGATAAACTCAGCACATAGTCAATACATCTAAAGAAAAGAAAACTAATTCTAATTTAATCCGTTAATCAAGTATCAATAAAATCCAATTATTTTTGTAATGGGGGGTTGGTAGAGATTGTAACAATTTTAATAGTTGAATTCATGAGTCTCAAGAGTCCCATACTAGGATTAAACGGCCATTCAGTACTTCCAGGCTTTTAATGCCGGTCTAGCTTACATCGACTCATCAATTCAACTATTAAAAATCCAATTGACAAGCTGTTTATATTATACATATATATAATTCACTCCCGTCATATTCAACTTTTAACCACTTTTTTTTTTACCGTATCCCAACTGTTTCCACGTGAATTCTTAACAGACTTCTTGTCATCTTACTGATATTAAAAACCAACTGTTTCTTTAAATAAAAAAAATAATTTAAATGTCATCATAAAATTAGTCTAGTCAAACTAATCATATAAAAATTATTATTGTTTTTAAATGGGCAAAAAATATATTAGCTAAGGTCATATACTACTATAAAAAATTGTTTCTTAGTAGTATCAATAGGCCTATGCTCCTCGACGAGGGGTAACAGGCGTAAGTAAGTAAGTAAGCACCAATATATATATATATATATATATATATATATATATATATTGACGATTAGTACTTTCATTATATACATTATAATATACTGTTATAGATAATAAACTGAATGTCTAATCTGAACAAAACAACTTGATGAATACAAGCACTGTAAGCAAAGATAGCACATATGCCAATAAGAGACTGATCAATTGCAGTCTTAAACATTAATGGGAAGATTCAAACAAACAATACTAAGTGAATTTAAACTTCACCTCGTTGCACAAGCAAGTAGCTTTCAGGACTCAGTGGCTGAGTAGATAACGCAATGGCGTTTGAAGCGAAAGGTACTTGGTTCAAGTCCCAGAGTAAATATCAACTCTGAGATGCAGGTACATCTAACTGACGAGTCCCGAATAGGACGAAACTCGATTAAACTGCTAGCCACTATCCATCTTTGTTTACAATTGTTATAGTAGTGTTAAGGCTATATCGAGGCAATACGCACAGTATACACATATGCCAATTAGAGACTGACCAGTTGCAGTCCTAGCACATCAATGGGAAGATTCAAACAAATAATACTAAGTGAATTTAAACTTGATGAATATATTTATTCTTTATAAGTGATTTTCTACTTAACGTGTATTGTTTTATGTTTTCTATTCATAGTGAATTAGTTAAGAGTGATTAATTTTAATCCAATCAGAATTTAAAGGATTTTTGGAAGGATAGGGGTGTGGATTGACGAATATGAAGTGATATATCATGTAATATTCTTGTTAAATATTAATTGAAGTTAATTATAATGAAAAGAGTAGTAGTTGTGATTTTGTCAATAAATCTGTTTTTATGAATGTATCGTTGAAAGGGGAGGGATAAAAGAGTGCTTACTTTTAAGTTTATAGTTTGGATTGTTGACGACTACTTTAGTTAGTCGATTACTGAAACCAGGAGTACCGGATAGATGTTTCGTCTTAGTATGTGACTCCTCAGCAGTGTGCGTTCAAGGATTGAACTCAGGATGAAACATCAGTCCAGTGATTTCTGTCTTTCATCGTTTGTGTGATTAAGATTATTATCAGAAGGGAGTTTTGTGAAGGTTTTAGTAATTTTATAGTTGAATTCATGAGTCAATTAAAGCTAAGCCACCATGGAAAACCTCGAAGCACTAGATGGTCATTTCGTCTTATTGTGGGACTCCACAGCAATGTGCATCCACGATACTGCCTCGTGAAATTCCAACCCAGAACGTATCAGTCTCGAGCACGAACACTGAGCCGACCAACATCCAACGGTGTTAATGTCTTCAATGAGTTATTATCTAACAATAGACCTGGTTGAATTGCACTGGTCACTGCTTCTCACTAGGACTCCAGGATATGCCTCTTGAACCCATGAGTATATGTTGATTATTATCAGATGTGGTTTTTGTGAAGACAATGCTGGATGTACCACTCAATTTAGTGGATTAGTTGAAGTTAGACATTGACACCGTTTGATGTCGGTCGACTCAGTTTACTAAATGTTAAGCGTTTGCGCGTGAGACAGATAAGTTCTGGGTAAGAATCTCGTGAGGTGGGATCATGGATATGCACTGTTAAGGAGTCCCACAATATAACGAAACGGCCGTCCAGTGCTTCCAGGTTTTCCATGATGATCTAGTTTCAGTCAGTGATAAAATCTATAAAGATTTATCAGTCTCCACAATTCGCATATGCTGATATTTATTTATTTTTATTCCTTTATTTTTCTTTTTAATAAAAAGAATCCGTCTAATTCCTATCTCAACGTTTACCTTTAAATTTTCCATTTCATTCATTAGTAGTTAGCGCAACTATTTATCTAGTAAATTCTGTTATTCCCTTCCTCTCTCTCTCTCTGTTTTTATACTAATGACCACACACATACACACACACAGACATATTGTTAAATAGAAATCTCCCTCTTACTTGCTAATAAACTGAAAATGGGTATTTAATGATAAGAAAGTAAGTCATACAAGCCTATACAGAAGCAATACAGAGAGAGAGAGAGAGAGAGAAGGAAAACAACATTAGTAACCAGGATTTCTTTTTTTTTCTTTTTTCAACTTCGAAAAAATTGAAATATCAACCAGAAAAAAGAGTTGAAAATCATCTAGATACACAGAAAAAAAAATAAATTTACATGTATTTCTAACCATATTTCTTCTTTTTTTTTCCTGTTTTTCCATGAATGACAAGTTTATGTGTGTTTGTGTGTATATATATATGTGTGTGTGTGTGTTTATATATTTTGTATACATGTGTGTTTTTATTTTTCCACATATGATTGGAAGAATTATTTTTCATTATCCATTGGAAAGAATTTTTAATAAATGGGGGGGGAGGGAATCATAAATATATTTCTCACTATAGGAAAATTTTTTTTTTATAAATGATTCCTAAACAGGCCTAATAATGATGATGGTGATGATGACGACGATGAAATGATGATGATTATGGTGATTAAAAACCCCTTTTAATTTTTATCCAATCTGAATTAAACTAGATATTTAAAATTATAAAAAATGAAAGAAATTTCAATGAATAAATATACCAGTAGGCAATTGATATATAGGAACAAAAAAAATGAAAGGGGGGTACATTTGTATGTGTACCATCCACCCTATATATGTGTGTATGAATGTATATATGGAATAAAAATGTTTTCGATATGCTGACAGAAGCACAAATCAAATGATTACAGTTTTTTTTTCTTGTAAGGAATAAATAATAACAAAATACTTTTACTTTCGATTATATATCTATATATACATCACTGCAAAACCTTATTAAGTTACCACTTGGACGATTGACAAGATATGTATGGGTAACTATACTCATTGTTTCAATTTTGATCCAATCACCGAAACGTTACAAAGTGATATTATATACTTTTCTTGATCAATTATAACAATCATTAATTACTCAATTTTTCATTATCATTATGTAAGTTATTATTATTATTATTATTATTATTATTATTATTAGTAGTAGTAGTAGTAGTAGTAGTAGTAGTGGTAGTTTACAATTTACAATTGGTAATAGTTAATCTAATTTATGACTTGAATACTTAAAGCAATCACTTCCAATTGCTACTTCTTTTACACTTACATTATAATCAGAAGGGGTTTTTGTGGAGATTACAGTATTTTCATAGTTGAAAGCGTTAGTCAATTGAAGCTAGACCATCAGGGAAAACCTGAAAGTAATTGACGGCCGAATCTAGCGAGGCAATGTTGTGAATGCACACTGGTGAGGAGTCTCTCAATAAGACGAAATGACTGTCCAGTGCTTATAGGTTTTCCCTGATAGTCTAGCTTCAATTGACTCACGCTTTCAACTTACATTATAGTTAAATATGAGTTTATATAACTGACTTTGTGTTGTATCCATTATTATGAATATATATATATGGGCTAGTATTACCAATTTGTTGTCTAATCAACAAATTACACCCGTTATGATATAAAAAACAAGAAAGATTGGTTCAATAAAGAGTTCACCTTTCCATTGACTCATTCTTAAGTATCTACAGTTCCAAATAAATATCCATTTCTGTGGAGATATTCAAATAATATGTTTATTTGTACGTTGCGTTAGTACTGTCTACGGTTTCACTAAAAATCTAGCAAAACCAAAATTATATTTCTTTTGAAAAATCATTTAACCTTTTCTGTTATCATAGTCTTAACTTGCGGTTTACCTTTTCAATATCCCCTTCTCTACTGATGTTCCCTTTAAAATAACTGAGTTATTTCTGTTGCCAACTTCAGCATTTCATCTTATCATATTACGTAATCTTTTACCACAATTAGCATATCTTTATCTGTTTTGTTTTAATGAATATTATTGATCCTAACAAATCTTCCATTTCTTAAAATAAAAATGATATTTTCGTGTTTTAATTTATTTTCTCTCAGTTACAATGTTAAGTAAACTATTACTATTATTTAGTTAAAATCATGAGTCAATTGAAGCTAGACCACTGTGGAAAACCTGGAAGCATTGAACGGTGGTCTAGCTTCAATTGACTGATGATCTTAACCATATAAAATTACTAAAAGCTCCACAAAGCCCCCTTGTGATAATGAGCATATGCTCACTAGTGACTGGCTCCATGAGGTAATTCCTGGAGTTCTAGTGAGAAGTCATGGCCAGTGGAGCTAATCCATGTCAGGTAGAGACAGGTATCTATCTCAGTACAATGGAAGTTGGTCGCGCGATTTCGTGGATTGGTTGAGGTTAGACATTAATACCATTGGATGCCGGCTCAGTGGTCTATAGTTTAAGTGCTCTGGCGCGAGACTGGTAGGTCCTGGGTTGGAATCCCGCGAGATGGGATCGTGGATACGCACTGCTGAGGAGTCCTACAATAGGACGAAATGGCCGTCCAGTGCCCCCAGGTTTTCAAAGGTGGTCTCGCTTCAATTGACTCATGATCTTAACCATATAAAATTACTAAAATCTCCACAAAGCCCCCTTGTGTTACTATTATTATTGTTAACAAATATATTGCTTATCATTTACGAAAAAGGTGTATATCTATTCGACTGTTATGACTTACGAATGAATTCACCGATAAGCAAACCATTCCCTGAACTAATCAATGTAGTTGAACTGGTTTATTATTCAAACATTAATGTTTCAGTATCTGCTGTAAATGAATATGTTTAGTGTTTACTATTGTTGAGAAGTTTTATAATTACCATATATGTAGTAAACACACATTAACATTCAATAAAATCAGTTTTACTGAATTATAAAGTTACTTTCTGATAGAGATTGTTTACTTACTTGAGCTTACTGCCCCCTCTCGGAACATAGACCGTAGACTATTGATTTAAGTGACTGGTTGGCATTTATGTAGCAAGGTTCAATCTTCTGAGATAGGTTTCGCTAACCTTATAACCAACCCTACTTCGTTACTCTCATTTCGGAACGTCACTAATCCTAGAGGTGTTGTTCAATTTTAGTCTGACAATTCTTAATAATGTATATGTTGATGATTCTACATATATACATATGAGTTGTAACGTAGAACATTCAGGCTAAAGCTCGGGTTCAAGACTCCAGTGAGAATTACTATGTGAATATCCAACAGTCTATACTTCCAATGGCAATAATCTCATGATGCGATTAAGAACGATAGCAAGTTTAGTGAATTGAGACAAGTCTTCATTTAATTCGTTTATAAATGAAGGATTATTTGACGCCTTTTAGAAATTGTAGATTGAGTCAAGAAAGATATCGATAACTTAGTAAAAAGGTAATAGAATTTCAAATGGTTTTTGAAACTATTGAAAGGTGTATTAGCAAATTTATCCTTGTTATGGTACCAGTCAAAACAAGGGATAATTGGACAGTTTTTTCCAATCTAGCTTAACACTTTTCGACAGTGCATAATGATGACCTTGACGGGAATCTAACCCAGAACCAATAATTCTAATGGTTGAAGTTACGGTATTTTTTTTCAGATACAAAGTGAAATCTGTTAAGTATTTTTGTCTTATTTTACTTAACAGTCAGTAATGTAATTCCGAATAAACATTTCGTTAAAACGTAATAGGCAGATCAAACTAGTAATATAAACTTCACACGAAATTTGGTAAACTAATGGTATAAGCTAGATAAGAAAATACAAGTTTATTTGTAAGTTTTCAATCACGGATTGACTTTAATTAGACAACCATCGATAACCAAGAACCACTAAATAGATGTTTTATTTTAGTAGAGGACTCCTCCCTAGTCCAGATCGATAATCATACCAAGGATTAAATCTAGTACTGTAAAGTTTCAAGGTAAAATCTCAACCTTCAAACTGGATTTGATATCCAATGGTTTACATTTCTGATATAGAATTCCTAAGATGAGAAGAAAGTAGCTAACCAATTCTTCCTTGTTTTCAATACAGATTGAAAATCTCCAACACCTAGGGTAATTATTTATTAATAATTTGATTCATTGACTAATTAGTTGCTTTTATTGTCATTTCTATTTTCGTATTTATTTCTAGCATTCGGTTGGATTATTTCACGCACAACTAGTCTTTAGATCGGGAAAAACTTTATTCATATTGTCACAATTGTTTCCTACATTTATTTTCTCTTGTTCCACTGATGTGTGATTTACTATCCCAACCACAGCAACAACAACAACAACAAAGACAACAAACAACAGGACAAAAATTATCGACTCGACAATTAAACAAAAATCAACATCATTTATCAATCATAGATACTAATAGTAATAGTAGTAGTAGTAGTAATAATAATACTACTATTAGTAATAATACTGGTACTTCTGCAGAAATGTCGTCAAATTTATGTACAAATTCAAATCGTTTCAATAATTCAATTAGTAATGGTAGTCGTTCATCAAAATTGAAACAACAACAACAACAAAATACACAAAGACCTGACATCAATTCTTTAGTTGATGATGATAATACTACTGATAGTATTGGTAGTAATAACAGTAGTAGTATAAAGCATACATCATGGTCACCTAGTGAAATTTCCAATAATACTAATAATAATAATAATAACAGCCGGGGAAATTCTTCTTTAAAAGATCAAAATCATATTTCTATAAATGGGGATTTACAACAACAACAACAACAAGGAATATGTTCAACGAAAAATGAAACATTAAATTCATTATCAGATATAAATAGTCAATGTTCAATCAATGAACAAAGATCTAAAACATCCATTAGTTTTGATAGCATACAATTAACACATAGTAACCATTCAAATTCGATTAAACATGATCATTGTTCATTGACTTCATCAAAATCACCACCATTATCTCCATCCAATTCGTCGTCGTCATCTTCATCATCATCAAATCATAGTCTTTCATTTAGAAATAATGAAAATTCTCAATGGAACAACAATCATAACATTGGTAAGGATGTTAATACCATTGATTCTTTTAATGCCAAATCTCAAATAGACATGACTGCCAAATCAAATTCAGTAAGTCAATTATTACTTTCTTATATATATATAGTTATCACTTTTACTAAAAACAATATTTGTGTAAACTTCACTACATCGCCAAAGGAAATTTACTGTCATCGAAGATAAAGAACAATGGCTTCTTAGTCATCTTCACCATGATCCATGAGAATTGTTGGTTCTATCCTATCCTTATGATGTTATGTATAGATCTAGTTGAGGTAAGATGGTGGTTGGAGGTGGTCAACAAGAAACCCTGAACCCGGGTTTCGTGCTACTTGGCACTCGTCAGCAAGGTGTACCTTTAATCTTGAGGGAACTGATGCTCCATGACGGATTCGATCCCGTGTCACTCAGCTTCACTGTCAGAGGTGTTACCACTGAGCTATTCGGGCCGCGACCGACCTCCTGTAGGACTGAGATGTAATCACAATTAATTGATCACTTGGTGGTGATCGATAGGATTCGATCAGCACTAAGAAGGACTTGACACGCATGACATTGATCACCACTCAGTGATCAATCAATTGTGATAGATCTAGTTTTAAAAAATCCTAGCCTTGATTACAATACTTATTTGTTTTGTGTCCTTAATTTGCTTTGTTTTCTGAGTGTTCTTCTTTTCAGTTAGTAACAAAACTTCATCAGAAATGAAATAATTTGAATATAGTATTTTCATAGTTCAAATCATGAGTCAATTGAAGCTAGACCATCATGGAAAACCTGGAAGCACTGGATGGCCGTTTCGTCCTATTATGGGACTCCTCAGCAGTGCGCATCCAAAATATTCATTAAACATGTTCATTAATTTAAATGTAATTGGATCATTATTATAAAATGCCAATCGTTTAAGAAGAAAAGATATAGATCACTAAAAATATTGATGAATATATTAGTCAGTCAGCTACAACGTAGAACAAGGCACACAAATGCATCGGTCCAAGTTGCCACATCTCGTTAGCACAATAAGATGAACAACAAATTCATAGAAGTAGTTAATTTAGTGGTGGTATTATATAAAAGATAGGTTGCATATAAGGATATAGTACAGAAACCTTCTTCAGTCTGGGCACCTGGGCAGTATCACAGCCCTCACACAATTCGAATGAGATTTGTGTGGCGCATATGTATCTGGTGCTTCCTTGTACCAATATTTATGTGTTTAAATAAATAAATTAATATAGTATAGAAAGAAAGACAGATATGAAGCAATTTTAATCTCAAGGTTTAAGGGAAGATAAAGAGTGTATACACCTACACCATTGTGATCTATTCGTAGCCATGTCACGCATAGTCTCTAACCATTGGTTACGATAGTTGTGCAGATCCCAACCAGGTAGTCTGCATCTACCAACATGGCTTAGACTAGAAGTTAGTAAATATTATCTAATTTAAGTTTTTGATGTTGATCAAGTAGATCTTGTTTAGAGTAGAAAACGTGAACTTGTTAAATAAGTCAAGTAAGAAATAAACAGTTTTGTTTTTGGATATGATTTATTCGGTGTTATTAAGTCTTAAAGGTAAACTACCTTCATTTTGAAGATGGTAGTTTTCTAACATATAAGTATAGTTTCATAAGTTAGCCATCCTTCAAAAGTTTTAGTTTCATTGTAGACCTTTTGTCAATTTTGTCCTAAGAACCTATGATATGTTTAGATTGATATCATGAATCGATCAATGTTAGGCCACCATGGAAAACCTGCAAGCACTAGACGGCTGTTTCGTCCTATTATGAGACACCTCAGCAGTGCGCATCTACGATCCCGCACGCGGGACTTCTGGACTCTACAACCCTATACTGACAAAGCTATGATATAGACGATTATTACCAACTTCTATGCTATTTTCAATTAGTTCAAATAACCGAAAACAATTCTCTAGCCTTCATTCATAAAGTGTCGAACGAAATATAATGATCTTGTAGAATGTTGTTTAAGTTGATCTTTTTTGTATTGAAGAAAGATCAAGAAACACCAACAAAATACATGAATGAAAATAAATCACTATGAAACTTTTGACTACTCAAACTCTACTCCAAATCAACATTATCAATAGATGGTTAGCATTACGGTTGAATAATAAGAACGGAAACGGTATTCTAACTAGCTTAATCGTTTAGTTGACATTTTAACGCCCAATCTTACGGTTGTTCACGTATCTTACCCATCTCAACATTGATATCCTTTCTTTGGATAAACTATAAAAGAGTTGAAAATAATACATAGTATAATATTAGCATCCTTAATCAATAACATTCACATATCTCATACATCAGATGTAGAGTGAATTAATAGTGAAACCAATAAAAAAATATCATTCTATGTTCATTGGAAACGTTTAAAATGAACGCTTGGAATATTGCATAGGATATTTTAATATTTCAGAAGGTTTTTTTTTATATTTCAGTATTTTCAGAGTTGAAATCATGGGTCAATTGAAGCTAATCCACCAGGGAAAACCTGGAAGCACTGGATGGCCGAATCTCGTGAGGCGATATCGTGGATGCACACTATTGAGGAGTCCCACAATAGGACGAAACAACCGTCCATTGCTTCCAGGTTTTCCATGGTGGTCTAGCTTCAATTGACTCGTGATTTCAATTATGAAAATTTACATATTTGTCATAAAAATGCTTACTTATCAAGTCTCCGTAAGGAAAAGATCATCAAAGACTTAATATAATAATATCGAAATTTATTAATCAACTCCATATTAATCCACTAGTTTGGGTTTGAATTAAAATGTATTGAAATGGATACCCGTTGCAAAAGTTAGAGGTTATTCTAACTTGGTAATTAACTGAATAAAACTCTGGGCGTTTGAATTGAAAGGCACTACATTTGAATCACTGTATGAATATCAATACTGCGATGCAGATACATCTAGCCGCTATCAAACATAGCTTAACTTCAGATTATATAATTGAAATCAATATCCTATTGGAATATTATTTCTCTAAAAATAACAAATACTTTTCCTTGTTGATAAGGACCAACTAAGAATTCTGTTGGTACTCAGAATTAGACTAATATGATGTAGACTACTATTCGATATAAACATTCGTCACTCACTAAGCATTTAATCCATTTTAATATGTGTATCAATATGTACTATAAAAAAGTAGAACAACTGATTACATCATAGTACATATGGATGGTCATTAGAAATGGAATTCAGAGCGAGTTTCGTTCTATTTGGGATTTGTCAACTGGATTTACCTGTATCCTAATGTTGAATTCATGCTGAGACTTGAAGTCAGAATCTATTGCACCGAAATCCAACACATTATCCACTGAGCTACTGAATCAATTTAACCACCACGTTACTCGATAGGTTTAAATATATTGGTTTGAATTTTCCCATTGTCTTAAGTATTCAACACTCATTAGTTTCAAAACTAGGAAGAAGTTTTTCACTTAATGGTGTTAATTCATATGTTAAAATGCTAAATTTAAGTTGACCTAGAGAACTTCTCTCTTGCAATAAACTTTCTAAATGAATAATTTACAGTGGATGAGATCTGTTGAAGGATAGGATGAGTGTTAGTGAATTTGTAGTGTATTTAACTTTCAATGTTTAATATGCGTGTAATATTTAGCATTTTTCTGTTCGTTTAGTAAGTGGGTGTTGTATATAAGAGAGAGAGAGGGATCACATTTTAGGCTATAACTTTCTCTTCATTTGCTTATTTATCTTACAAGTTCGATTGCACTATAGGGTCCTATTTGTAGAAGCTGTGTGTAGATAACTTCAGATGATCAAATTGAAATGCCTAGTAAAAATTCCATTAATAAATGCACTGCTAACCCATTAAATTAACGATTAAACGTTCGAATACGACAGATATTGAACTTTTATAGAAAACTAGAGAGAGATGGTTATCATCACACGTAAGTGTGAATACACACATAGAAGTGTTGTATTCAAGCCTATTGATTAACATTTGAATTGTATTAGATATTTTATATGAGAAGGGGGTTTTGTGGAAATTTTAGTAGTTTTATAGTTGAAATCATGAGTCATTTGAAGCGAAACTATCATGGAAAACATGGAAGAACTGGACGGTCGTTTCATCCTATTGTGGGACTCCTCAGAAGTTCGTATCCACGATCCCACATCGCGAGATTCGAACCCACAACCTATCAGTCTCGCACGCGAACGCCTAACCTCTAGATCATTGAACCGGCCGGCGGACGTCTAACTTCAACTAATTCACGAGATTGAGCAACCGTCCACCATTGTCTTCGGTGAGTTATTATCTCACAGCAGACCTGATTGAATTCCACTGGTCACTCATGGAGCCAGTCACTAATGAGTATATGAAGTTAGACATTAACATCGTTGAATGCCGGCTAAGTTATCTAGCGGTTAAGCGCTCGCGCACGAGAACGATAGATTCTGAGTTGGAATCTCGTGAGGTGGGATCGTGGATGCCCACTGCTGAGGAGTTCCACAATAGGACGAAGTGGTCGTCCAGTGCTTCCAGGTTTTCCATGGTGGTCTAGCTTCAATTGACTCATCATTTCAATCATATTTTTTATGACTTTGTACCATCTTACTCAGATCTAATATTGTCTCAATTTATGATAGACGTCACGTAACGCCTGGATCAATGTCATGCGCCTCGAACTGTGAAGCTGATAGTGGAAGGTTGAGCTCGCACATTAAGCTTCATCTGATCCCAGGCCTCAAGTACGCCTAGCTGACATGTGTCAAATAGCACGAAACCTAGACTTATTTGACACAAAATCTGGTTGAAATCAAATTTATCCCACTAATTACTTTCCAACATATTAGTTTAATTCACTACTATTATATTACTTTTAAACTATCTTCATTCCTTAGTCTCATCTTATTTCTTTTCTCTTCCGTAGCTTTCAGTTTATGTAATATTTCCTCTTTATTTGTATGTTGATAATTTGGATTGATACAGAATTGTATTTGAAGTTTGCTATTTTGTATGATTGACTAACTAAAACTGGTAGATAGTTAGATCAGTAATTGTTGTCTTAGAATTA